CTTCCGCCTGTCTGAGCGCAGACGGGGCGTCCTGCAGAGCCGGAGGAGTCTGAAGGACAAGGACGTTCTTCGCTCGGCGTCAGGAGTCTATCGGCATCGCTCAGAAATTCATCCGAAATCCCTGGACTGCAGAGTATCGCAGACAGACCTAAAGGAGAACTCTGGGCATTTTAACACTTAACCCTTGCAGTTACCCTGGGCTACCAATGGGCCTGGTCATGGGTCACCAGGGACCAGCATGTTCTAAGGGGACCATATGAGGTTCTACAGTTTCCCCAAGGGAACATATCCATCATGGTCATGGGTCACCAGGGACCAGCATGGTGTAAGTGGACCATATGAGGTTCTATAGTCTCCTCCATGGGCAACACTCTTTTCCTCTGTCTGCTAGACTAATAAAGCTATAGAACAAGCTGGTCCGGAGGGGCCCCATCTCCAAACATATCCAATAAACAATGTCCAAGGCTCTCAAAGGACTAAGACGAAGATCCTACAGAACATATCTGGTGGACAAACCCAAGTCATGGCTCCCAATTGCCCCTAACGGAGATCCCAGTGACACAAATGAGATGTTACAAGTTGTCTCTGCGGAATCTCTGCGGAATCTCTGCGGAATGTCAGCTCCTCGGACTGTCACAAGAGATTCGTCTCACAAGGAGGAGATGTGTCACAGGAGGCGGAACAAGCCGCGCTGCTCTGCGTATGGACGCTGCCTTCTAGCAGATGGCCGCGCTGCTCTCTCATAGGCTAGTCCCAGCCTTCCAGAAAATTCTAATTAAGCTGCAAAAAGATGGTTCCAGAGTTCCATCCCTGTGACTCCCGCAACTGACAGACATAACGGACCCAATACATCACATGTACATCCCATATACATCCCATATACACTCCCTATACATCCCATATACACTCCCTATACATCCCATATACATCCCATATACACTCCCTATACATCCCATATACACTCCCTATACATCCCATATACACTCCCTATACATCCCATATACACTCCATATACATCCCATATACACTCCCTATACATCCCATATACACTCCATATACATCCCATATACATCCCATATACATCCCATATACACTCCCTATACATCCCATATACACTCCATATACATCCCATATACATCCCATATACACTCCATATACACCCCATATACATCCCATATACACTCCATATACACTCCCTATACATCCCATATACATCCCATATACACTCCCTATACATCCCATATACACTCCATATACATCCCATATACATCCCATATACACTCCATATACATCCCATTTACACTCCATATACACTCCATATACATCCCATATACACTCTATATACACCCCATTTACACTCCATATACACTCCATATACACCCCATATACACTCCATATACACCCCATATACACCCCATATACACCCCATATACACTCCATATACACCCCATATACACCCCATATACACTCCATATACACTCCATATACACCCCATATACATCCCATATACACTCCATATACACCCCATATACACCCCATATACATCCCATATACACCCCATATACACCCCATATACACCCCATATACATCCCATATACACCCCATACATATCATATATACATATATCAGAGCTATATAAATGTATAATAATAGAGTGTGACTGTGGGGGGAGGGGACATTAGAGTGTAAGCTCCTCTGTACAGAGACTGATGTGACTGTGGCGGGGAGGGGACATTAGAGTGTAAGCTCCTCTGTACAGAGACTGATGTGACTGTGGGGGGGGG